TCACAGACTCTGACTCCTGAGTAGCTAGGATTACAATGTGAGCCACTGCACCTAGCCTTTTTTTTTTTTTTTTTAAACAAATGAATAGTATTCTATTGTATTCTCTTTTTTGCAGTATTGGGGTTTGAACTTAGGGCCTCATGCTTCCTAAGCCGACACCCTACAATTTGAACCACATCCCCAGCCCTTTTTGCTTTAGTTATTTTTGAGATAGGGTCTCACATTTATGCCTGGGCTGGCCTTAACCTTGATCCTCCTATTTATGCTTCCCATGTAGGTGGGTGACAGCAGGCACACTGGACTTGTATCCTCTATTGGTGGACATTAATGGGTTTTTTTGTTTGTTTGTAGTAGTGGGGTTTGAACTCACCTTGAGCTACTCCACTAACCGTTTTTTGGGAAGTCTGTTTTCAGGATAGGGTCTCAGGAACTATTTGCCTGGGCTGGCTTCGAATTGTGATCCTCCTGATCCTCCTGATCTATGCCTCCTGAGTAGCTACGATTACAGGCATGAGCAACAGGTACCCGGCTAATGTTTCTTTAGATATTGCAAACAATGCTGCAGTCAGTTGCCTAGCACCTTCTTTCCTGTTGCACATGCTAAAGTACAGCGTTTCTCAGCCTCAGCCCTATGGACATCTGGGGCCAGATAATGCTTTGGTGTTTGGGGGTGGAGTGGGGGCTGTCCTGTGCCCTACAGGATGTTCATCCCAGACCTCTGTGACCAGATGCCAGCAGCACCCTCATTCCAAGTTGTGATAACCAAAAATATCTGCAGATATTGTCAAATGTTCCCAAGTGGTCAAAAATCACTCCTGGTTGAGAACCACTGCTTTAATTTGTCCTTAGGATAAATTTGTATAAATGGAATTACTGTCTAATGTGATCTACATTTAAATTTTTTTACAACCATGGCTAAATTGTCGTTTATAGAGGTTGTAACATTTTATGCTCTTGCCCCAGTATTTGAGGGTATTTTCTCATTTTCACCAATATTGTGGTTTATCAGAGATTTTTGCCATGGAGTTTTAAATCACATTTCTCCATTTTTACAGCTATCCTTTCTCCTCCTCCCCTTCTTCCTCCTCCTCCTTTTTCTTCTTCTGTTTGGCAGTACTAGGAGTTGAACTCAGGGCTTCATGCTTGCTTAGCAGGTGTTCTATCACTTGAGCCTTTTTTACATCTCTAGTCCTTAAAAGCTATCTTTTTAAAATTGAGCACTTACTGCTTCATGGGCATCTAGTATTTTTTTAGCCTGTGGATTTTGTGTTCTACTTTGAGATATCTGTATCTCTGAGTCTTAAAGTTTGATGACCAGAACTGAAGACAGTCCCCTGAATTTCTTTGGATCCTAATGAAGTGATATCATTTGCTGGGGTCTGATGTGTAACAAACATTGTACTTTGTGTGTGCTTTACAAATGCATCTAGTACTGGGGGGCATGGCTCAAGGGGTAGAGCACCTGCTTAGCAAGCGTGAGGCCCTGAGTTCAACCCCACAACATCCCCTCCCCTCAAGCTCCAGAAATACGTGTATAGGTTTAGGAATGTAACTCAGTGGTAAAGTGCTTACCTAGCATGTCCAAGGCCCTGGGTTCCAGCCCCAGCATTGCAAGAAAAGAAGTATGCATCTATCCCTATGTAGTCTAAGCAAGTATTTATTTCTTTGTTTATATAGTAGTGAGGTTTTGAACTCAGGGCCTCACGCTTGCTAGGCAGGCATTCTACCAGTTGAACCATGCCCCTCCAGCCTTTATTTGCTTTATTTTCAGATAGGGTCTCTTGATTCTGCCTGGGAGTGACTTCAGACTGCTATCTCCTACCTATGCCTCTGTGTAGCTGGAATCATAAGCGTGTATCATCATGCCTGCTTATTCTTTGAGTTAAGATCCCTTAACTTTTGCTTGGGCTGACTTTCAGCCGAGATCTTCCTATCTCTGTCTCCTGAGTAGCTGTGATTACACCTGTGAGCACATTGGCACAGGGCATCTCTCTCTTGACATGTTGTAGCACTCATAGTATTCTGAGTTAGGATGTCACAAAGCTCTCTGAAGAGTGCCTGGTTCTGCAGTTAGGAGTGGAAAAAGGCTCTGCTCATTCCTTCAGCCTGAGTTAGAACTGGTGTAGAGTTCCCACTCCTACTCCAGAACTTCTTCCTTTTCCTCACTAACAGCCATGAAAGTTGGAAGAGATGACTTTGTGTATGCTTATTGACTTGATTCTTGTCTCTTAGGCATATATGTTCACTGCTAAATATGTAACCCCTCACATAATGTCTGCACATGCATACTGTGTGTTGAGGATAAATAAATATTCCTGTGAATTAATGGCTTCCACCCTCACACTCTTAAGAGGTAATGGTTACATTTATTTGAGGCAAAGTAATACCCTCTCCTAAATGAGCAGTTTTCCAGAAATTGTGTTTTGATTGAGTTCTGATGTGAACTGCTTTCTAACAGTATTAAGGGGCTCACAAGACATGAGATACCTCTGTCTTCAGTGATTTTTCTACTGATCTTTCCCCGAGATGTCTGGAAAATTATTCGATAACTCCGTTTGCTTACTGTTTCCTCTACTTCTAAGAATTTATGTGAGGATCAGTGTTGGCCAGGTAACTTGTCTGGCTGGTTTACTGTTCTCTGGGCAGGAGGCTGGGTGCTCTTAAACAAGCACTCAGGGCAGGCAGAGCCACCAGGGGAGAGGTTGCTATTTCAAGGAAAGATCAGCTGGGTCACAGGTGGCAGACAGTTTCTGTTAAGAGTCAAATAATAAATGTCTTAGGCTTTGCAAGTCATGGTCTCTGTCATGTATCCTCCTTTGTTTTTGACATCTATTTAAAGATGTGAAAATTTTGCATAGCTCATAGTTTGGGAGACTTGTAGAACAGACAGTAATTAGATTTGGCCTTCAAGCTACAGTTTGCCAACTCTTGAACTAGGTGGAGAAATCAGTTTGTTGCTACATGTGTTTAATGCCCAGAATAACCTTGGGAATTCTCAATTGATTGTGATCCAAAGAGCAGCAATCAGAACTTTGGCTTGTGGAGTCATGCTTGATATGTGACAGTCACGTTGGGCCCATGGAACTCAAGGTAACCTTGCCAGTGGGACAGAGGGCTCTTCTGGATCTTCCCTCTGGGAATGCTGGCCAAGGGGAGTAGAGGTATGGCCCTAGAATTAGACTTGGCCCTGACAGGTATCAGGAACACAGTGGCTCAGACTCCTCAGTTGCCTTGGGAATGTAGTTAGAATTCTGGCATGTACAATGAGTTTGGCCAATGTATAAAAATGAGAGCACATTTGTACCCTGGATTCTGAGAAGAACACTGAATTCTGATATATGAATCCAGATCTGCCTTGTGGTTTTCCTATAGACACAGGAAGTTCTGTAGAGCAGGTCTGGTATAAAGGAAGCATTCATTTATTTCAGGGTAGCTTGGGAGGTGGGAAGGTGCAGTGGCTAAAGAGTCTGGGCTGAGAGACAGAGGAACTTGTTTGGATTCCTGCTGTACCACTGAGTGCCTGTGTGATCCTGGGAAATTTACTTGTCTCCTAAGATTCAGAATCCTCACCTGTAAGTGTGAGAATTGAGCATCGTATATGCTATTAGCTCAATGCCTGGAATATTTTAAGTAGTCAGTAAAAATTAGCAGTAATAACAATGACATTAAAGTAGAAGACATGGAAGAAGGTGGGGATCAGAAACAGGAGCGTGTATTTGCGACTCAGCCACTGATACAGCTCCCTATTGAGCATTTGATCTCTAACTGTGGGAATGAGTTGGGAGTAGCACAAGAGAACTGGGTCTGTGTCCAGCTCTCATTTCCAGATTTAGGTGGAAATAATACTTGTTGACAGGTTAGAAATAATCAAATGAGGTAACATATTTGAGTTTATAAAGTATTGGATAAATTTAAGGTGAAGTCAGCACGCACTTGTTTAATTTCCTGAACTTCTAAGCGTTTAGGATGGAGCTAAAAGGTGATCCATGCTAAGCCAGAATGTTTTGCCAGGGTACACTGTAGCTCAGGGTTATAACACTTGCCTAGGATATGCAAGACCCTTAGTTCCATCCCCAGCACTATCGGGGGAAAACGTTTGGTTTCAGAGATTTGGTTTTCAGGATACTCCCAAGTTGATAACTTGTAATTTAGGTGAGTACTATAAAATTGGGATGTTCTCATGAGATACTTGAAATAGTAGGATTTAAAAATGAGTGACCAGTGTGGAGAAATAGACTGGAGGGGTTTAATCTCTGTGAAACTAATGTGACAGTGTCTTACAAATTAAAAATGTGTATTTCTTTTTCCCCTGCAATTCTGTTTCTAAGAGTTTATCCTGAAAATGTATTTACCCTGTGCGTTCTGTGTACTAAATCACATATGTACATGGTTATTTAAAGAGTCAAAAGGTGAAGATAGTAATGTCTGGCTTTAGGAGACTGGATACCTAAATCCTGGCACATTTTTACAGTGGCAGACTGTGCCTAGCAAGCATGAGGCCCTGAGTTCAAACCCCAGTACCATCAAAAAAAAGGCAAGGCAAAGAATAAGGTACATCATATGCCATCGTTATTGTTGCCAGGCTCAGGGAGGGGGAAGGGCAGAAGGGAGCAGCTGGTTTCCTCACATAAGCAGAGATTCTCTTTGGAAGAATACAAAGTAGGTCATGTGGTTGCATCCATGTGAAGAACTCTGGGTAACTGGGGACAGATAGGAGGGAGATTTACATTTCACAGTATATCCTTGCTACTCTTTCAGATGTGTCTTTCATGTATGCATGTTCTGTTTAAAAAGTTTGAGTGAGTTGAAAACTACATGGAACACTTGCATTGCCTGCCTGGTCCCTTTGACCTTGATGGCTTGAGAAGCTGGTACTGGCTGCAAGCTTACCCTAAAACAGTCTCTCTGTCCACCCCCCACCCCCCCACCCCCACCCCGCCAAGTATCTTGATGTTTCTCCTCTTGACTTGTGTGACTGATGGTGTTTCTATTCCCTGCAGCTCTGGCAGCATGTAAACGGCTTTTTGCCAAGAACCCAGGTCACCACTGAGAAGAGGGCCTCAGGGAAAAGGTATCGAGCAGCCACTAATGCCAGGTGCGTCTGGAGCTCTGCTCACTGCAGGCAGCATGAGACATTCCGTGCCGGCCTCAGTGTGCCATTGGCGAAGACTGGGGCTCTCCAGGTAGGAAGATCCTGGGGAAAGCAAGCACCAGATCCTCTCCAGAAGGAGAATGGGCCAGATGTGAACTCTCTACAGTGAACTCGGGCTTCAGCTTATGAAGGAATTTTAAGTAAAACAATTATTTAATTTCCACATACTTGTTTTCAAAAGCCTTCTGTGTGAAGTTCCAGCCATCACTCACACTCACACTCTTCTCACTCACACACACACACACACACACACACACACGTGCTCGAGTTACCAGGAGTTTTCTGGCATCAAGGTGAGCTCTTCTTGGTACTTCTGGTAATACAGATCTGCAGGACAGATTTATCTGCTGAATGCTCCGGGGCAGGAAAAAGAGTGAAATCTCTGGAAGCAGCGGGCGGAAAGCAGAGCAGAGAGTTCTCCCTCGCCACTTAGTTGCACAAACCCAGCCTGGATACAGATGCTGGTACCGAAGGTGTCTTGCTGCGTTCTGGGCAGATCTGGCAGTTTTGGGCTGCCTCTGTGGCCCTTTTCTACTACTGGTCTGCCCCCACACTCTCTGTGCAGACAGTTGAATGACTTGAACCTTGGGATGGAGTTTGTCACCTTTGGGGGACCGACTACCTTTCCTAAACTGGAGCGGTCAGAAAGGATCATCTGAAGGTCGTGGTTTGTGTGGGGAAGAGGGCAACAGCCTGGCCTGGATCGTCCACCATGTTCCTCTTGCTGCCTTTTGATAGCTTGATTGTCAACCTTCTGGGCATCTCCCTGACCGTCCTGTTCACCCTCCTGCTTGTTTTCATCATAGTCCCTGCCATTTTTGGAGTCTCCTTTGGTATCCGAAAGCTCTACATGAAAACTTTGTTAAAAATCTTTGCGGTGAGTTCTGCTGTTACGGTAGGTTGAGTCACAGGAGGGGAGAAGTGCTTTCACCAGCTACCTGGCTGGTGGCTGTCTCAACTGGACCTGGAGAAAGCTGGGGAAGAGGAGGCAGCTTCTGGAGGGAACAGATATATGATTGTGTGCTCCAAAAGCTGTCAATGGCCTTTCTGATTCCATGACTCCACAGCTTGCCTGCTTATGTCACAGAGTGGGGCTTGGAATCAAGAAAATGATCACCGCCAGACTCTGCCTCCTTATAGAGCAGGTGGTGTATAGTGGCACAAACCTGTCCCCTTGCTGATAAGCTTCTTCTTTCTTTTATACATTTATTTGAAGTAGGTTCTTGCATTTCATACTAAAAGAATGAACAGAAAAAGTCATTTAAATTTTTTTTTTCTGAAACAGAAAGATAGTAAATTTCTGAACATAAGTTAGAACTTACCTAATTACACCACTGAGTGGTGGTGGTCGCATTATAAAGGAAATAGATGAGAAATAATGGTTCCTGAAGTTGATCCATGCCACAAGACTTAGTGTGTTGTGTAGTCACAGATTTGGTAATTGAGTTACAAAGTTTGTTTTCAGTTGTCACAAAATCTTCAGGAATTCTTTTCCACAGATGAAACCATGTGGAAATACAACAGCATAGTAAAAATAAAACAGCATTTTTCATATGGTATCTTACAGGTTTGTTTGCTTTGGTAATCCTAGGGATTAAACCCAGAGTCTGTCACATGCTGGGCAGGAGTTCCACCTCTGAGCTACACCTCCAGCCCTATCTTAGAGTTTTAGAATTTTTTTTTTCCTTTGGCTCCTTAGAATTCATGGTGGACAGGATAAGTACTTCATTTTATTAACAAAGAAAGACTTAGAAACATTAAGTGAAGTGTATGAAATGTTCATTATAATGGAAGTACCCTGGAGTTTGAATGCAGGCCTCAAATTTGCTGGGCAGGCATTCCACAACTTAAGCCATGGCCCCAGTCCTTTTTGCTTTAGTTATTTATTTTTAGATAGGGTCTTGTGCTTTTTTTGTCTGGGGCTGACCTCAGACCATGATCTTCCTACCTACACCTCCAGGTGTGCACCAGCATACCCAGCTTATTTTTAGTTTTTTTGTATTTTGGGGTTTTTTTTGGTTGTACTGGGGATTGAACTCAGGAATTCATGCTCGCTAAGCAGCTTCACTACCACATGATCCACACCCCCAGTCCTTTTTGTGTTAGCTAATTTTGAGATAGGGTCACACTTTATGCTCAGGCCAGCCTGAACCTCGATCCTCCTATTTGTGCTTCCCAGTGTACTTGGGAATGACAGATGCATGCCATTGGTTGAGATGGGGGTCTCAAGAACTTTTTGCCCAGGTTGGCCTTGAACCATGATACTCCTGATCTCTGCCTTCTAAATAGCTAGCGCCCCCTCCAACTTGTTTTGTGAGCTAGGGTCTCCCTAACTACTCCCTCCCCTGGGCTGCATTAGAACCACAATCCTCCTGATCTCTACCTCCTGAGTAGCAAGAATTAGAGTCAAGCTAGCTAGTATACCCGGTGCTATAGTAAAAAATATTTTTATGTATGTTACAGAGAGTCATGCTTTTATCTTTTTTGGTACTTAGTGTCTTTATGATTTTTTTCACATTTCAAAAAATTGAGGTAAAATTGAAAAATTAAACATTAAAGATACACATGTGATCATTTTAAAGTAAACAGTTCAGTGGTATTCACTATATTCCATTGTTGTACAGCCACCTCTCTAGTTCCCTATATTGTCACCACTTCTAAAGAAAACCTGTGGTGTCATATGGCTATCTATAATCCAGCTTTTGGGAGACTGAGGCAGGGTCATGAGTTCTAGGTCAGCCTGGGCTACGTAGAAGATGTTGTCTCAAAAAAAAAAAAACAGAGAGAGAGAAACTCCTATTTCCATTTCCCCCTCTGCCCACCCCCTGGCAACTGCATTTTGTCTCTACAGATTTGCCTGTTCTGGATATTTCATGTAAATGGAATCAGACAAAATGTGTCCTTCTTTGTGTTTGGCTTCTTTCATCTGAAGGTTCATCCGCAGGGTAGCATATGTCAGTCTTTGTGTGTGTGTGTGTGTTTGGATAATATTCCATTGGATGTCTGTATCCATTGGTGGGCTGTTGACACCTTCTGACTGCATGGTGTTGCTATGGATCTGTATGTATTTGTTCGAGTACCTGTGTTTCAAGAGTATGATTTTTGAGCATTACTTATGATAGTATCTGGAGTTATGGATATGTAGTCCTTGCTGCTCAGCAGACTGTGTATTGCCTGGGAGCCAGTTACAGACGAAGATCTCTGGCCCATTGTAGACCTACAGAATTAGAATTTATTCTTTTTTTTGGCAGTGCTGAGACTAGAACCCCAGGACTGTGCGCATGCTAGGCAAACACTCTGCCACTGAGCAAGTAATTCCTTCTTGTGACTGTTTTTAAAATGTACATTTCTTGTGACTTTTAATATAGGTTATAATTATACAGTGGAAAATTCATTAAATGTTCAACTGTTGGACCATCCTATGGAACATGTAATCTTGGGCCATCAGAGACTATTTGTATGCTACATCTTGAAAATCACTGGTCTCCACACACAGTGATTGGTAATGAAAGTAGCATGTATATATTTGTAACCTCAAGATTAATAATTGGTGATGTGGCTCAATGTTAGAAGTGCTTGCTAGCATGTGCAAGGTCCTGGATTCCATCCCTGCCACTGCCAAAAAAAGAAAAAGAAAAGCTGAAGAAAACAGATTTATACTTGTTACTTCCTAGAGATATGTGCCAGGCACTCTGAGGGTTCAGGGTGCCTTGCAGGTCCTGTCCTGTGGAACTTGATGGATGGTTGTAGGAAGTGTATGTCTGGCAAGGGCATAGGGTGGTTCTGGGAGAGCATCTAGGCTATTTTCACCTTTGCTTTCTGTGCTGAGTTGATCTTAATGGACAGAAAGTCTGAATCCTGGTTTTATCAATGGTAATATTTAGGTACAAGCTGGATTTGATCAGGGTGCTATCAGGCCTTGGAAGTATATATCTGTGTACCTGTATATTATCTAAGATACACCTGAACTTATGAGTCTCCTTTCTTTCTTTTTTTCTTTTTTTTTAATTTGTGGAGTGTTGTAATCCATTTGAGCTACTATATCACAGACTGGGAGCCTAGAAAGAACAGAAATTTATTTCTTGTAGTTCTGGCTGGGAAGTCTGAGAACAGGGTGCTGGGAAGTCTGAGAACAAGGTGCTGGCAAGTTCAGTGTCTGGTGAGAGCCTACTTCTAGTTCACAGGCTTCGGTCTTCTGAAGTCCTGTGTCCTTGGGATGAGGGAGCTCTCTGGAGTCTCATTTATAACCCTATTTAGGAAGGCTCCTTCTTTGTGACCTTACTACCCCCACAGGCCTCACCTCCACATATTACAACTTTGGGGATTAGGTTTCAGCATTAGAATTTTAGGGGGCCATAAAGATTGAGTAAGATGGCAAGGAGAGACTTTCATTTTACCTTTTTTAGTCTCTTTAGCCTTTTCCTAAGTCAGGATGATACAGATTTAGAGCTGGAAGAAATCTAGAGAGGTTGTCTTGATTCTGTGTTCTTCCTCCTGACTAACCATTATAATCCCATGGGGAAGCTGTATTTTGGGGACTGGAATCTGATTTAATTGGTTTGGTTTTTATCTGACTTCTCCCATGATTCTTACATCCATTGTCAGAAGATGGAGTCTGATTCCCACACTCTTCCTGAATGTGAACCTACTCAGTGATTTGTTTCTAATAAGTAGGATGGTGGAGGACATGGTGCTGTGTGATGTAGTAGATTGGGTTAGAAAAAGCTATGTAGCTTCTATCTGGTTCTCTCTCAGATGTCTATGCAGGAGTGAGGAAGCCTTTGATGACTCCAGCCCCCAGTCTTCAAGGCACCCAGCTGATGCCAAGCCTGTGCAGTCTGCAGATTGGGGATAGACCATTATATGCAATAACCAGACAAGTAATATGGCATTAGAGAATAATAGACATTCATCCTTGTCTCACAGCTTATAATACCTTAAAATTTTTATTTTTTGCAAATTGTCATTCAGTATTGGGCAGTACATATCCACACTTTACAGTTGTATTAATAATGTGAACATATAATTTTGTGTTGACACTGGGCATTTCATCACCAATTTCACGTTTTACTGATAATCTTTGTAAAAGATCATTAAAACTACTAGTCCATGTAGTGCATATACATGTACTTTTGACTGACTTAAACTGCCCTAGCTTAACAGCTATTTTCCCATACTTCGCTTTAAGGTACCAGGGAAAATACTGTGTGCCGGCCACCAGGGGGAGGAGAAGGAGATATGAGTGGATCAGAGCCTGTCTTGGAGGTCTTAACTCGCTGATATGTTGGTAGGGAGTCCTAGAAGTCAGTGGTGGGCCTGAGGAAGTTAAAGAAAAGCCGGTAGTGGGACTGAGGTGTTATGGGCATTTGTTTTTGGAGCAGGGAACCCTTACCTTGAATACTTGGACTTCCCCATCAGCATTGAAGCTTGACCTTTGTTGTTGAACCTAGTCTTGTTTCCTCATCATGAGAGGGAGTGGTAATTCCTTCACATGGCGGTAGTGAGAGAAGTGATGTTGATTCTTTTTTTTTTTTTCATGATAATTCCCATATTTTTTACTAAAAGAACAGAATTAAAATGTATAACTTCCAAATGAATTAAAAGGTAAATATTCAATAAAAGAAAATAAATGCAGGCCTGGCACCCATGGCTCACACCTATAATTCTGAATATTTGAGAGGCTGAGATCAAGAGGCTTACAGTTCAATGCCAGCCAGACAAATAGATCACAAGATTCCCAATCTCCAAAATAACAGGAGCAAAATGGATTGCAGGTGTAGTTCAAGTGCTGGAGTGCCTGCATTGCAAGCACGAAGCCCTGAATTCAAACCTAGTCTCACCAAAAAAAAAAAAAAAAAAAAAAAGAAAGAAAAAAGAATGAAGGAAAACAAATACAAAACTACTTTTTTAAAGACAACAAAGAAAGGGATAAAAGCATAGAAAATAAGATGTACATTGTATGCACATGTGAATAAATGAACAACAAAAAAATACATAGAATGTAAGTGTGAAAATATCATAATGAAATGCATTTTGTACAATTAGTACAATTAATCTTCTTTGGGTTAAAGACACACTGAAGAAAATGAGGATGATTTGTGACAGGAACGGTGATGAGAAGTTTTAGGTGTTTTTGGAGAGGAACATTTAGAGTCTTATTTAAGTATTGCCCTTACTGACTCAGTACTAAGTGTCTGGCACTCTTAAGACTGCTAGACTGCTTACATGGCAGCTCTAGCTCTGGCCTCTCAGGTATTTGTAGTTCGGTAAGAGGTAAATGCACAGACATAGCTAATTCAGCATGAGGTGCTAGTTGAATTACACTGCAAAGATTCATTCTGACTTCAGGAGATGGGTAGATAACAGTTTATATAAGATTTGGCATTTGAGCTGGATCTTGGAAGATAAAGAACATTTTGAAGCTCATTGGGTAAAGGTGAAAAGGTTTAGTCTTGTTTAGAGATAGCATACAATTCACTACAGCAAAAACATCGATGCATGAGGAACAAGGTGGGTCATATCATGACCATTTCATTAGGTACTAAGAAGTCGTAGAGTGTTTCCAAGCAGCTAGTGTTAGTGGAGGAGGGAAGAGGGGAGGGAAGAAGTTAGCTGTTGCCTAGGTGTAGGCAAGAGGATGGGAGAGGGAGGCAAGAAAGGAGCATGGGACAGGCAGATGTGAGAGTGCCACTTCAGGGGAGAATTGCTAGGGCAGGGTGACGTGGGGAGCTGAGAAGCTTGGGTGGCTCTGGGAAGAGGATGCCAGCTCCCAACTGGAGTGACACCATGCTGAGAAGACTGACTAGTCAGGAGGAAGTGCTGCTGCTGATTCTCAGCATGCTACCTGGGAGACCACCTGGACTTGTAATTGGAAACATGAGGTTAGCCCTTCTGTGAAATGAAGAATAAAGTGTGGACTTGGCAGTAGCTACCTAGATGTGGCAGCCTAAGCGGGGAGAGGAGAGTGCTGCCAAAGGGTGGATCAAGTCTCGGCATAGGAAGTAGAGTACGACACATGATCCAAGATGTTTGAGGGGGTCTGATTCTTGGGTGAATTTAGTTGGTGGGAAAATGTGATGGAGGCTGACTGACCAGGAGAAGGGGTTCTGCTGAGATGAGTTTTGCCAACTGTTAACCCTTACTCATGACTGGTTCCTGAATTGCAGTGTTCCATAGAGTGAGTCACCAGCAAAAATGACCCATGGAGGAAGCGTCTGCATTTCACCTGTCAAGTTCTGTGTTAGTTTAAGAGCCCAGTTGTAAGAGCCCAGTATTGTTAATGCCCTTAAATTGTCTTTTTTCTGTCTGGCGGTAGCTCAGAGGGGAATAATTAAGTAATCCAATACTGAATAGCTTTGCAAATGACATCTCAGATCAGGAAGGGAGAGGATTTTTGTGGTGAAATGAACTCTGAACCTAGGAGTCTTAATTTTATTCCAGGTATCTGAAAAGTATACTTCTCTGACAACTCAGAGAAGCCTATTGTGTAGTTACCAGACGTCACTATTATGCCTTGGCCTGTGTTATAATATAGAATGTAGTTGGTCTTTGTGCCCAGTTCCTGTCACAGAGCTCCTAAAACCCTAGGGGTTTCCTGGGTATTAGTAGTGTCTTTAATTCACAGTGAGCCCTTGGTCACACCTGACTTTATGCTAAAGAGAGAAGGGCACTAAATACCCTAGGAAGGGACAGTTGGAGATTAAACTCAATAAAGTCTTGAAGAAGATGATTTGATGGGCTTCTGGTTGGTACAGGTTGGTAGACTCAGAAAGGGAATGGAAGCAGGGCCTTCCCACCCTGTACCTTTCCTCTGCAGCTCTTCTATCAGGCTTATCCTGAGTTGCTATATTACCTTTGTAATACATCGTAAACATAAGCAAAGTGTTCCCCTGAGTTCTGTGAGTCATTTGAGCAAAGTGTTGAGCCCATATCGAGGGAGGTTTTGGGAACCTCACCTGCACCTGTTGGAATCTGAGACTTGCGGTTGGAGTCTGGAGTGGGGCAGCCTGGGATACTGAGCCTTTAACTTGTGGGATTTGTGCTGTCTCCAAGCACATAGTGTCAGGATGCGGTTGAATTAGCAATATCCAGCTGGTGTCCACTATCTTTGTTTGGCTTGTGTGGGTCACCCCACATCTGGTATCAGAAGTGTGTTTTGTGAATATGGTATGGAGAAATGGAGTTTGCCCAGAGGCTCTTTCCTTCCACCTTCATTAGGATGAAGGTAATCCAGTGAGCTGCCCCCACTATCCCTTAACACGCTGTTCCCAGCTAACAGCCATTATTCCTCCAGCCTTACCTCTTGTCACCGCATGACTGTGGACAGTTTCTTCTTAAACCCAAAAGCATTTGGTAATGTTCCTGAAGGTTGAAAAGTAGATGAAGTGTAACTACAAAGCAGGAGGCAAGGGTTTTGTGGGACTGAGCTATTTCAGGGACCCTTCCAGTGAAAGCAGCAGCCCATGGCAGTCTGGAAGTTTATGCAGTGAGGCAGTCCTCCAGAGGCCTGATGTCATGTCATCTGCTTTTTGTAGTCTAGTCTAAGTATCAGAATTATTTGTGCAGGATCAAGTGTTTTTTTCTGATTGTTCTTGCACTGCCAGCTCAGGGTCCTGGCAATACTATGGATCCCTAAATGTGAGTTGAGTGACTTGTGTGTCTGTATATACCAAGCTTGTTGAAAATTCCATTGTCTTTTCTCAGCTCTTCACAGGTTCCAGGAAACCAGGTGCAGTTCACATTCCTTCATTTTAGTAATTTATTAACATTTTTTCCTTTTTTTTTTTTTGACATAAAGACAAAAGACATCAATAGCCACATATCTGAAATACTGAAAATGGGTTTATGTGAATTTTCTTGCCTTTGACCTTGCTTTGAGTGGTTAACTGTAAGCTACCTTTTGTTTTTTTTTTCCCTAGACAATGGCATTTGAAGAAGTTTCCAAATGATGTTACTTCATTGATTAAACTCACATTCTGCTTTTGTCTTGTTTCGTTGCAGAACAGTCTTGCTGCTATTTCAGGCCATACTAGCAGAGTTTACCAAATGACACACTTTGTGCTATGTCATGGTTAGGGTTCTTTCCCACCCTGTGTAACCATGGACACAGTTTGAGAGAGACCTCTTGAAGTCTCTCTTCTGTTTCCTTGACTCACAGCGGAGGTAGCTCAGCATTCAGTGATAACATGTTGTATGCTAGTTCAAAGGCCCAGCCATGGGAAGGTACAGAGCTCCAGGGAAAGCCTTTTCTTCTGGATCTCTTCTAGAGTCTATGGGTTTTAGTAATAAGGACAGCTAGAGTGCCTTACATTTCCAAGTTCTGTCACATAGTTCTGTTACTTCCATCCTAAGTGACCTCACTAAGTAGGAGAGTGAGATAGGATCAACCCTATTTTGCAGATAAAGAGACCAAGATTCGTAAGAGTTGGAATGAGTTGCTTAAGGAAATACAGCTAGTAAGCTTAAACTTGGGAATTGAGCCTACATTTAAAAAGTTCTCCAAATAATGGCACCCTCTCCCCTTTTTGCCCCACACTGTGAAGCCAGTCACAGGTTTTTCTTTTTTGGTAGTGCTGGGATTTGAACACAGGACTTTGTGCTTACTGGTCAGGTGCTCTGCCACTTTAGCACTTTGTATGTCAAGTTGTCAGATTCCCCTGTGGAAAGGTTTACTCTTATCACTAGGCAGTCCAAACATTAAGTCCTTTACCTTTCTGAAAATGAAAATTGTTGCTTTTTTTTGAAGTTATTTGGTGGTGGGCAGAAGTTGAAAAGAGGCCTAACTTTGCTGCTTATGTGCTGTTAGCTAACCAGTACTGTACCTTGCATGTCTAGAGACACATTTAGGCAGTCACCAGCCCTGGGCACCTCTTCCTATCTTCTTGCTTCTAGCTCTTTACGGTCAGTAACTGAACACGAGCTCCTGGTTAGCAGGCAGGGGCCTGTCCTGGAAGGAGGTGTGAACCCTCTTTAGAGCAGCTGGCTGTTTCTCAGGTGACTGGCATCAAGCCTTCAGAGTAGAAATGGAAGTGCTCTCTGATTGGAAAAGGATCTCATTATTCCTCTTGTACTTTGCCATTTTCCTCTTTAGTGGGCTACCTTGAGAATGGAGAGAGGAGCCAAGGAGAAGAACCACCAACTTTATAAGCCCTATACCAATGGTAAGACTGGGTCTTGACCTAAAAGGACCCTTTGAAATATGTCCTTAAGTTCTTTTTTTATTTGTATACTGGCATAACCCATTTTCTGTTGCTGTAACAAAAAAACCTGAGACTGGGAACTTTACAAAGGAAAAAGGGCTATTTGGCTCACAATTCTTGTGATAAAATATTCAGGCAGCATGGTGCTGCCAAGGGTCCCCTGAATGTTTTGTAGTGTGGCAGGTGGCAAAACTTGACAGGAGTGTGTAAAAGGGAAGGTGGGAGGGAGGAGCCTGTCACAGGCTAAGTAAAAGTGGAAAGAGGCCAGGCTTGCTTTTTTTTTTTCAGTACTGGGACTTAAACTTGGGGCGTTCACCTTGAGCCACTCTACCACCCCAATTTTTTGTGATAGTGTTTTTCAAGATAAGGTCTCACAAACTATTTGCCTGGGATGGCTTTGAACTGCAGTCCTCCTGATCTCTGCCTCTTGAGTAGCTAGGATTATAGGCGTGAGCCCCCGTTACCCCTGCCAGGCTTGCTTTTTAAAAACAACCTGATCTCATGGGAGCTAATCCACCCCTGCAGACCTAATCTGTTCCCAAAATACCATCTCCCTTCCCTAGGCCAGCATTCTGCTAAACCTAATCCCCTTCCCAAAGCCCTACCTTTTAAAGGTTCACCACTGTTAATACTTTTTTGTTGGGGTTCACACCCTCTTGGAGTCGCATGCTCATCCCACATCCAAACACCCTTCACAACATAGAATGTAGGCCATGTGCCCTGAGTTGTTTTCGTGGGCTTGCTCTGAGCATGCTGCTTGACAGAGGCATTGTATTTTGCAGGAATCATTGCAAAAGATCCCACTTCACTTGAAGAAGAAATCAAAGAAATTCGTCGAAGTGGTAGTAGTAAGGCTCTGGATAATACGCCAGAGTTTGAGCTGTCTGACATTTTCTACTTTTGCCGGAAAGGAATGGAGACTATTATGGACGATGAGGTGACAAAGAGATTCTCAGCAGAGGAGTTGGAGTCGTGGAACCTGCTGAGCAGAACCAATTATAACTTCCAGTATATCAGCCTTCGGCTTACCATCTTATGGGGGCTGGGAGTACTGATTCGGTATTGCTTCCTTCTGCCACTCAGGTGAGGGCATGGCCTGGTGGAGACAGAGGTCTGAGCTGCTCTTTCTACACCAACATATGACCTGCTCACCTCTCGTTCTGCCTGGTTTTTCATTTTAGAAGGAGGATAGTATGGTTCTTGCCTCTGATCCTTGCAAGGGTACACTGGTGATTGTCCCTTCAAGGCCCATAGGCTCTCTTGTGTGTCAAGACTGAATAATGGGTTTCTTAAAGACACATTGCTTGTCCAGGTGGACTAAATCCAGCAACTGGGAACGTCATGTACTTTCTGGACACTCCTCCCTGAGTATATAGCCTTCTTTCCTGAGCTTGCCTGTTAATACAGAGGCAATATTGATCTCTGCCATGCACTGTTCTGAGTGTCGTGCCAGACACTGGTGCCTTCTGGCTGTACCTCCTGTTGCTTCACAGAGGCTTTGTTTCTGCCAGAGTATATTGCCAAAAGGAGTAGAAGCCAGGAGGGCAGCAGGTGCCCAAGGGCAGTACAGCCTGGGCTGCCTGTCGTCCTGACTGCTGCTGCTTGAGGAGGTAATGTCAGCCAGGGCCAGGGCCAGGTCTGCAGCTCACTGTCAAGTTTGGAGTCAGAGAGCTCTGGTTCTGATGGACTGCTCGCATTTCTGGGTAGAATTCTTTATTTTTTATTTATGTATTTATTTTATTATTTTTGCAATACCTGCAAAAATATTGGACTCAGGGCCTCAGGCTTTGGGTGGATCTCTTGTCCAGGCCTTGGTGGTCTGATCTGGGGGTGGTTTTTGTGATTTTCTGCCTGGTCTTCACATCTGGTTGTTATGTTATATTGTAACTTGTCTTCTTCCTACAGGATAGCTCTTGCATTCACCGGGATTAGCTTGCTGGTGGTGGGTACCACTGTGGTGGGATACCTGCCGAATGGGAGGTGAGTAGAGTGCAGGTGTCCTTGTGGGGTTGGGGATCATTTCTGGGAATGGTGGCTGCCACTGAAGATGACCACTTATTTGGATACCAACCCAATCCGAGAATCCTAAGTGGTTAAAGTAACAATGTGGTGACAGTGGCATTAGTATTAAGGGCTTTCTTTCATTTTGTGACTGATCTTGATCTGTGACTATCTTCTTTCTGCCTTCCAACCCTCACAGTTTTCCCATTTTAAAGTCAAAAAGACAGAAAGGGAGAATCTGGAGCTCAGATGTTAAATTGTATAGCATGTTGTTTAAATTGTTTGGGGTTTTTTGGTTATGCTAGGGATCAAACTCAGGGCATTGTGTGTACCAAAGGATAAAGTGTTTTTAAGTGACTTGGAGTATAATAGGAGGGTTTTTTTGTTGTTTTGGAGGGAGTTTTTTGTTTTAAGGAAACTTGCCTCCCTTGGGGAAGTTTTGGAGTCACCTCTGAGAGGAGGTTGGTTTCTGCCCTTGGCCTGCCTCAGGAAATGAGTGTGAAAAGAAATCTAGAAGGCCCTGGGTCTGCTGTGCTGGAAGCTCAAATTCTTGAGCCCTAATTTAGATGAATGTAAGCAAGCCTCATTTTCACTTCATTCCTCCTTTGAGGGTATAAAGATGCTAAATGTAAAACATTTCAGGGTTTTATCACTGCAGTCTGTTAGGCTGGAACTTGTCCTGTCTTCCTGCATGTAAGAAAAAAACCCCAAACCTGTCCTGTTGTTGCAGGTTTAAGGAGTTCTTAAGTAAACACGTCCACTTAATGTGTTACCGAATTTGTGTGCGAGCCCTGACAGCCATCATTACCTACCATGACAGGTAAGGGGACTCTAGCGATGGGAAGGGAGAGGGCACAGGCCTGCCCTTGGCCAAATCAAACTCTGTTTAGCTTTTAGATAGAGCTGGTGAAGCATGTGAGATGAGAGATGTTTTCAGATGAATTGCTTCACACTCATTTTTGTTGCCTTGCATACATTTTATGTCCAGAAAGAACAGACCAAGAAATGGTGGCATCTGTGTGGCTAATCACACGTCTCCCATCGACGTGATCATTTTAGCCAGTGACGGCTATTATGCCATGGTAAGCAAGCCCTCCTGCTGCTGCTGCTGCTGCTGCGTGAGACCTCAGGCTGGGAATACTCTTTCCTCCACATAGCACTTCCTTAAGGGCACAAATGTGAGAACAGGCTTTATATGTAGTCCCCAACCTAGATTGGCCCCTTGTGGGGGACTTCTTGGGATGTGGATAGGGGCTGAGTTGCTGGAGATTGCTGGAGATTGTGCCTTGGATGTTTGGGTAGAAGGACAACGGAAAGGTGCAGGGTGGTAGAGAGGAGGGGCAGGGGAAGGGCTGGGCCACAGGGCATTTGAGAATACCCAGGGAGGGGCACTTTATACAAGGGATCATTCAACTTGATTATTATTTCATTCTGGGGTTTTCAGTTACGTCTTTACAGATCTCTGATATCACGGTTATAAGGAGAAATTTAGGACTGGGGAGTCTAAATGGTGGTTTCTTGATGAGAAGCCTACAGATAGCAACCAAGTGTTAGAGGGTGAGAGGTTGGGGTATTTACTTTATGGGACCTGGGGGGATTTGTGTAAGGATGGCTTCACCACTGATTATTCTTGTTGGGGATTAGGTGGGTCAGGTGCATGGGGGCCTCATGGGTGTGATTCAGAGAGCCATGGTGAAGGCCTGCCCACATGTCTGGTTTGAGCGGTCCGAAGTGAAAGATCGCCACCTAGTGGCCAAGAGGTAAGTGGACAAAATGCTCTTGTGTTGAACCAGTTACAAAATAAGTAGAAAACATTTTAGGGATAATTATCCCTTTACACTGAGCCAGTAGAGTTCTCATTTTTATAATACATTTTTCATGAAATAGAGAATGTAAAACATATAGAAACATGAGTAGTGTTTACCAAATTCGTAATGTTTCATTATACCCATCCTGTTAACAGTGTACGAACCTTTTGTGGGTTATTTTTGGTTTTGTTTTGTTTTGGCAGTACTGTGGATGTACCCCAGGGCCTTGCATATGCTAGGCAAGAGTTCTACTACGGAACTACATCCCCAGCCCCAATATGAACCTCCAGTGCTATTTGAAATCTCAAAAATGAGTTCATTATCACAGACAAACTTAAGGCTGTGGAACAAAGTGCTGCTTTGTTTTTAATTCTGGTGTGAATAGTGCAAAGAGCAAGACTCAGTTGAGAGTTGTTTTGGGCCATATTGGAGATGGAACCCAGGGCCTCACGTATGCTAGGCAAACAGTCTACCACTGGACCAGCCCAAAACCATCTTTCACAGTTGACCAGTAATGAATTAAATAGTACTCATCTAATTTTCCCTGCCCTTACAAATTTTTTTCTTTAGGAGCTTTATAAAGGAGAGAGTCAGGTTTGTCAACTTGCTTTTTTACATCTATAAAGTAGTGTCACATGCGTAAATCCATTTTGATGGCAAGGTGCAAAAACCCTTAGTTATTTTTTTTCTTCTAAAGACTGACTGAACATGTGCAAGATAAAAGCAAGCTGCCTATCCTCATCTTCCCTGAAGGTAAGAAGGGGTCATTGACTATAAAGAACTTTGGAGTGGGAGGCCAGGCAGGATTGTGACCCTGGTGTGCCCAGGAACTAAGCCCCTCTGCCGTTGTTGGGGTTTCTGTTTGCACTGGGAATGTTAGGTCACCTTTAGATTGTGGGTGGGATTAAAAACTTGGGGAAATTCAAAATCTGGCTTAAGGGTTTCCCTGTGTGGATTTCCTCAGTAAAGGATGCCTTTTTGCTGTTGCTTGCAGCGGGCCTTCCAGCCTTTTGTGGCATGTCCCTCAGTTTTCCTGAGTCCACTCAGTGTCCCTGGCCCCTTGTCTAAGCTGGGGTCTGTTAGTCAGGGAAAGTGGTCCATGAGAGGAGAAGAGGAAGAAGCTCAGCAGATCATGAGTTAGGGTGATGACAGACTTGCTCTGTTTGGGGAGCCATTAGAATTTGGATTATTATATTTAGTGTTGAAGAAACTCTTAATGCCTGGGTAAAGGACCAGGAAGAAATAGTGCTTTACTCTTACCTGCATTTCAGGAACCTGCATCAATAACACATCAGTGATGATGTTCAAAAAGGGAAGTTTTGAAATTGGAGCCACAGTTTACCCTGTTGCTATCAAGGTACAGTACCTCCAAGGACACACATTGTCATTTTCACAGCTGCAGAGACCAGGATGCAGCAAGAAAGTAGAAGCAGGAACTGGTGGCCCAGTCAGTGGGTGGCACCTCTCCCCCGAGCAGAGCCACTGGGTTGGCCCTGTGCTGCTAGAGGAGGAAAATGTGAGCGCTCACCCCAGCAGAGTCCTGGGGGAGTGTTAGAGGAGGAGCTGCTTCCCTACTTTCCAGACTCTGGAAGAGGCAGGCCTCTCACAAGCTCTGCATCTTCCCACTTAACTACCTCACTCTGCATAGAACTAGCTGCCTTGGAGGGTACTCCACTTGAGTGGGGGCTTCTTGCCTGGAGAGGGAGGCTATGAGCTAGATTGGCACATTGGGTGGAGGAGGAGGATGGATGGATCCCTGGTACATTGTGCAGCAGGTGATTCCTCTGCTTTGGGTTGCCAACAGAGAGCTTCTCCACTCTGCCCCCGCCCTTCTGGAACTTATCTTTTCATCCCTTCAAACTTCCTGGAGACATGGGGTGTGTCGGCTTCTTTGTATTACTCTTTCCCCTCCCTATCGTTGTGTCAATAAGGAATTACTTCTCAAAGAATCCAGACCTCACATCATTACTCCCCTAAAACAGCCTGTCCCCATTATGGTCGATAGGCTGAAGTCTTCAGGGCAGAGCCAGCAGCAGGTCAGTTCTGCTTAGGGTTTGGCTGTTTGCTTTTGCCAGGGTCTGTCTGTTGTCTGTAGAATATTGTGGAGATGTGCCTTTCTTCCTGTGTAGATCAACCTGTGCAGGCCACTCACCTTTTACCAGCTGAGCACAAAGCACCAGGGCAGGGCTAGTCTATGAACCTTGACTATGAGCTCACCAGTGGATGGCTCAAGGCCGTCGAGCCATTTGTGTAGTATGATGAGTTAGAGAACAGTGTGTTAGCAGTGTCTGCCGCCCACATGCTGTCCTGCATTCTGGCATAATGGGGATCAAGCTCTTCATCAAGTGTGTTTGGTGAGCTACTAGAGAATGGTCCTTCTTGTTCACTCCAGAGCAGCCATTCTTAACATCAACTGCGTCAGCTTCACCCCAAGAATGTTTAAAATGCAGATAGCTGGGCTCCATGTGGGTCAGAGTTGCTGAACTATCTTTCTAACACCTCCCCATGCGGTGTCTGTGGTGCTGGTTAGGGACCACACCAGGAGGCCCTCTGCTCTGGAACATGGTTCTTACCCATTGTTGGAACATGGACCCTTAGGGGTTCTTACCCATTGTTGGAACATGGACCCTTAGGGCTCCTCTACAAAGTGAATGCATAGAAACCTTTCATTCAGTCCCCAGAGTGGAGCCACACTGGTCAAGAGCTGTTTGTGGACATTTCTCCAGTGTTAGTGAAGCCTTCATTGGGAACTGAACTTGCATGACCTTCATAATGCAAGGCTCTTATCGCATTGCCACCAAAATTAAGTCACTATTTGATTTTGAGAGTGTTACTGCTATTTTGAACTTTTGCCTTGTTTTTCTATTCAGTGTCTGCCCGGCATGGAAGAGAGAATCAGCTCTAAACAAAGGACTTCCCTCTTACTCATAGTTCTGCAGTTTGTGTTCATGTCATCCTTTATGAAATACACCAACACTTCCTTTTTTATTTGTTGTTTTGTGTTTTTGAAATAGGATATGCTGTGTTGCCCAGGCTGGCCTTGAATTCCTACTGCCTCAACTTCCTCAGTAGCTAGGACTCTAGGCATGCACTACTGTGCCTGGCTAACAGGACTTTCTTTGTAATACACTTAGCTTATTTTTAAAATTTATTCTCCCTTATTTCTTTTTGGTATTACAAGGTGAATTCAATAAGCTTTCTATGGTTAAATTTCTTAGTTTCTGTTACTAAGGCTCAGTGTCTTTCTGTAAGTAGGGACATAATCTCAACATGCTTGACCATTCATTTTTCTGAGAATAAAACTTAGACCAGAAAGGCCTGAACGATGGCACAGTTGAGACCCCGTCCCTGAAGCACAAGGACCTGCTCCCCAGCACCTTGCATGTGCCCTTCTCCTCACCGGGAGAGGGACGCAGGTGGCATCTCGGCTCTGTGGATAACTCTTAAAGTTCTGTGTCCTGTTATTTATCCGCTGCCCATTCCTCAGTCTTTGCTCTGTAATGCTGCAGTCAGCATACTGCCCTCACCCTCTGTACTTTGTTCACGTGTCGCTCTTCTTGATGTTTCTTGTAAGACTTCTCCAGCTCATCTCCTGCCAGACTTTCCTACCACTGGGATTGCTGTTGGGTACAAGAGGTCCATAACTGCAGTAACATTTCTCCCCAAATGTCATTGAGATAGTCTTTGCCTCCTTTAGAGTCATTGACAAATGCAAATGTCTAAGATGCCTGCTTCCTGGAGGGAAGTCCAATGCCTGCCTGCTCAATTACTTCATGAGACTTATCAGTGTGTAACCATTTGCTAATGGACACTGATTTAGTCAGTATAGAGCTTCCTGCCTGAACAGATAATGTGCTTTGCTAAATTAAAAATACAGAAGTTGTATTTGCATTTATATTTAAATTCTAAAAGCATATAAGCTTTCTAATTGATCCACATTGGTCTGAGACACTGGAAAGGTTTGAAAAAGTTGGTAATTATATAAGAAGATACCTTTGTTTTGGAGGTACATTAGTCATGTTTATGAATGGAGACAGGCCTTAAGAGGGGAGAGGATGGGGATAATGGCCAGATGTTGGCAATTGTTGTTGAATCTTGGAAACAGGTAAATGGGGGTCCATTATCTTATTCTCTCTGGTTTTGGATGTGTTTGGAAACTAATGTGTGTGCCTGTGAGTGAGACATGAAGTTGCCTTGGGAGGGAAGATGTTTGCTTGAGGAAGGCTGTTAGGAGAGACTCCCTGAAGATCTTTGCAGAGCTAGGGGCAGTGAAGAGTGTGGATGGAAGGCAGAGTCACCAGATGCAGAGCTGTTTCAGAAGTGTTCATGTGCAAGGAGCAGCTCTCTGGCCCTTATGCTGCCCCAGTGGGTCTGCTCATGAACGTGCAGTTGACATCACACATGGTTCCAGCTACTCACTTCTCACCATCCAGCTCCTGTTGTTTTTCAGTATGACCCTCAATTTGGGGATGCCTTCTGGAACAGCAGCAAGTATGGGATGGTGACATACCTGCTGAGAATGATGACCAGCTGGGCCATTGTCTGCAGTGTTTGGTACCTGCCTCCCATGACCAGAGAGGTAGGAATCTCTAGATGTCTTCACTCAGCTGCATATGATTGTGAGCCTAGCCCATTGGTTTCATTCATTCGTTACAGAAAGATGAAGATGCTGTGCAGTTTGCTAACAGGGTGAAGTCTGCCATTGCCAGGCAGGGTGGACTGGTGGACCTGCTGTGGTGAGTAGAGCCAGCCGGTCAGCTGAATCCAGAACACTCCTGAGGCAGATGCAGAGCCACTGACTCCCTTTGCAAGGGCTCTTCCCTCCTGGTATGGAGGACGAAACCCACCTACCCTTAAGAGGGAGAGCTGGAATCCTTTCCCCTGCTTCCTACCCAGAAGTACCCTGTGCTTTCTTGCCCTTGGGAGGATGGAGTCAGAGATGCCTGCACTGAAGTTGACTGTGCCTTTCTGAGGTTGTCCAGTCTGCTGGGGCACCCATGCAGTTCTCATCTCTAGGTGGGGATAACCTGGGAGTAGTCTGGAATGCTCATAGTACTGGGCTTCCTCTGATCTTGATGCATTTGGCAAAACTGGACCATCCTTAGAAAGGCAGACATTTGATTTATTGCATTTAGCTTGTTACCTACTAGGGCAGGAGTTGACAAACTTTCTGTAGAGTCAGTAAATATTTTAGGCCTTGCAAGCCATATGATGTCTGTTGCAGCCACTTCTGCCACTGTAGTGTGAAAGCAGCCAGAGAGAATACACGAACAAATAAGCATGGCTGTGTCCCAATAAAACTGTAATTACAAGAAGAGGTGTGAGGCTGGATATGAGGTTTTGACCACAGTTTACCACCCTTGTCCTACAGTTTGAGATACACTCTAGACTAGAGAAAATTGGTAGGGACAAATGCTGGTTCCAAGGACACTTGGGGATAAGGTCCCCACACTCTGAGGACTTTGAAATTTAAGGACATGGTGATGCACATCTGTAATCTCAACCACTTGAGGGGAAGGCAAGAAGAGTCCAAGTTTGAGGCCAGCCCTGGTAAAGTTAGTATGACTCTTAAAAAACAAAAGGGCCAGGGATATGGCTCAAGTGGTAAGAGTGCTTGCCTACCAAGCCAAAGGCCCTGAGTTCAAACCCCAGTACAGCCAAAAAAAAAAACCAAACCCAAATGTTGCCTGATGTAGTGGTACATCCTGTAGTCCCAGAAGCCCGGAGACTGAAGCAAGAGGATGGTGATTTTGAGGCTAGCTTTGAACTATATAGTGAGAGCCTCTCTCAAAAAAAAAAAAAAAGAAAGAAAAATGAATGTTTACTGAGCACTTAACTATGTGCTGATGGTTTGTGGGTGATCTCATTTCACCTTCACAGTAACCCATGGATAGAAAAATTGCTATTCCCACCTTACAGTTGAGAAACTGAAACTCAGAGAAGTCAAGTCACTTCTTCCAAAGTCACAAAGCAAGCTCTGGAGGTGAATTTTGAATCCAGATCCAGCAGACTTTTAGAGCTAGAGTTTACTTGCTACCCTATGCCCCCTGTCACTGAAGTCTGACAAAGACCAGGTTAGCTGCTTTTGAAAACATGTCTTGGCTATGAGCTTTAAAGTGTATAACAGAGACTGAAAGCGGACTTGGGCTTCAGTGTGGTGTTGAAGGTGATAATTCTGGAGTTTAGGCCAGGAGTTAATGACAGGTGGGTGGGAATGGGACCGAGAAGGTAGAAACAGGTCTAGAGGACTTGGGAGAGGGGGTGCAGGAGGGCATGAGGCTGGTGAGGCCAGTTCCCCGGAGGAGGCCCAGGAGTTCTGTCTGAGCCTTGCTCACGGCTCTTCCCCTTGAGCATAAACGAGATGACTTATACTTCCCTTCGGCTAGGGGTACAGCTCAGTGAGCACTTACCTGTCTGAATCCTGGGTCTGAATTATACAGATGAAATTTTGCAGAGTGCTTTAACTTGTTTCTCTTCCTTGTGGGGGATGCCCAAAGCCTCCTGTCCTTTATCCTTTGTAAAGGTGAGTGTTAGCATGAGAAGAACAAACTCCTTGGGTGGAGTGCTGCTGACCTTAGGGCAAGAGCAAGGGTTTTGAGGGTGGAGTCCCAGGAGTCCTCCTGATGAGGTGGCTGGGGAGTACCTGTTTTTCCTGCCAGCCTTTGCTGGGTTTTGAGCCACATCCACTGTGGTGGGAGCTGGCCAGGGAGCTTTCTCTACTGTGACATCGACCTTTCTGTCTTCAGGGATGGTGGACTAAAGAGGGAGAAGGTGAAGGACACATTCAAGGAGGAGCAGCAAAAGCTATACAGTAAGATGATTGTCGGGAACCATGAGGACAGGAGCCGTTCCTGAGTTCAGGTTTCTTGCTGGCTGGAGCTTCTGCCTCCAAATCCCAGCAGTGAGCCAGATGGAGTTGCTGCTGCTGCTGCTGCTGCTGCCACACCCCCACTGCTGTATCCTTCCAGACTCTCAGCCCCGGGCTGCTCTGGATCCCAGGACTCCCACTTCTTCAGAGCCTCATAGGGATCCCTGGGCTTGGGCAGCACGACCTGCCGAAACTGCTGGATGCTCCACCCAGGACAAGATGCCTTCTTGTTCCTTTTACAATAAGCCCATTGGAGGAGTGCCATTAAAGTCAGCTCTCCACCTGTGCTCGTCATGTTGCGTGGACTAAGCAGTCAGGAGGATTGGCCTTGCCCCTAGTGGGATGTTGAGGGTTAGTCTGTGGTAGACGCTTTTGTGCCTGGACTTGTGGGAAGGCCCACTACTCCTGAGGAGAGGCACTGCCCAGGCAGCCTGGCTTTTCTCAGCCAAACATCAGCCCAGCCTCAGAGCCCTGCAGACCTGATGAAAGTTCATCTGCAGTGGTGTTCAGCCAAATGAAATTTTAAGTTTCTTGTACTTCTGAGTACGGGGCATCACAGAGGGGATGGGAAGAGGCCAGTACCCCCTGGCGAGTCACTCTGAGAACTATGAGTTATTTTGTTCAAACTCCAGGTTGAGCCTGAATTATCCATGTGACTTTCTCTTTGTTTAATGTGTGCCTCGTCTTCCTCATCTGTGGTATGGGTCAGCAGGGGCAGGAAGGGTGGTGACATCTACCTCACAGGTTTGTTGTGGGGACTCAAGTGCTACTGTGAGTGAAGTAAATGTAACGTGCAGTGTCACGGGTACAGGTTCATGAAACAGCAGGACAAGGTCTGAGTTCAGAGCTGCTACAGGGCTTTGGACATATTTTGTTAGTAAATAAAACTGGATGGTGAATAAACTGAGGGACTTTCCCTTCACTCTCTGCCCCCAGATACAACCCTGAGGAGCTTCCTCTGGGTTACAATTCTTGTCCTTAAATATAACCCTGGGACTTGAGGGTCTCCCAGTGTCTACAGTGAGGATGAACTATTCATACCAAATGTTTGCCCATTTCTTGTAGAGTTGCCAGTGTAGACAATGAGTTTCTCCACAGATGGGTGACATGGGCTTGGAGGTGTGTTGCAGCATACTGACTGTTGGAGGTAGGGGAGAGGATGAGTCCTGTTGAGGGCAGTGTGGATGTGAGGACAGTGGAAGCAGGCAGTCGGTATAAGGGGTTGGAGGAGCAGAGGCCTTGGGAAGGGCCAATGAGTGAGGTGGGCTGGTGTGGGTGTTGGTTCACCTCAGGTTCCATATACATACTGCAAAGGCAGATCCAGAGCCAGTCGCCCTTGTCAGTTCTTGCTTCTGAGGCCCACTGACTTCCATTTCCTCCAGAGAGAGGTTTGCCTCGACCCACCATTCATCTAGTTGTCTGTCCCTCCCAACATCATGGCACATCACACCTTTCAGGACTTCGCACCAGCCATGGTAAGTGTCTCATCTCCAAAATTGCCTGAGATTTTGGAGTGTGCTGGAAGTGAAGCCAGGCTCCTTAAGGCTACAAACTGATGCCGCTGTCATGTTGAAAAACCCTGTCCTGTTTGACTCTGTGGTGTCACCCCCCACCACATTCCTGTCACCTCCCCAAATAGCCTCCCATTTCCTCTTCACCTGCCTCATTGCTACCCAGTGGAAAACTTTTCTCTCAAATAAAAACTTAATGACTGTAAGAATGGCCTCTTGTGAACTGTTTTAGGGATATTCAGGAATAAAAAGCAGTTTATAATGTTTCATTGCCAACTGGAATGATCTTTAAAAATTGGTCTTGAGGGTCAAATTCCCTTTAAAGAAACTCTCTTAAAACTTCTCAGGAATTACTGCTTTTATTTCCTGATGTGTATACAGATTTTTAAATTTTACTTTCACTTGTCTCATACCCCACACACCCATGTGCTACATAGAGAACAGTGGAGAGAAGGGCTATGCATCATACCCATCCTTACTCAGTGCTTGGTACAGGCACTCACTCTACTGTCTGTCCTTTTTAATTGAGGATCCTGCAGGCCCCAGTTGTGTCCATAAATCAGAATACTTGGTTTGGGATTGATGTCATCCCATGCTGACTTCCTCAGGACACACAGTGTAGGCAGCGTAAAGGTACAAAGTGCTCGCTGTCAGATTTCCACCTGATGGGTGGAACAGCACTGGCCAGCTGTAGTCCTGCTTCCAGATCTTCTTTGCTGGCTTGTCTGTATTTCTCTGCACTGTTTCCTGATTTGAAACCAGGGACTTAGGTGACCTTTAAGGCTTTCCATCTTGAAATTTCTGTAGCCCATCATTCAGACTTTGGTTTTGAGATCTTAAAGTCTTCTGTGTTCTGAATTAGAATTCGCTTGAGGCCACTTGCTCCCTTTGACTCTGCTGCAGGGGTACCCCTGTGAGGAGGAGTCCCCAGGTAGTGTAGGTGGTTGTGAGCCAGCCCTACACTCCTCCTGGAATGGGTTACTTAGGTTGTGGATCTCAGATACTCTTCACTCAAACATGTACCTTTTCCAGCTAGTTAGAGAAAACTTTCTAAGAAGGTCAGTCAAGTTCTGAAAGGAAGGTCAATAGAAGTCTCTCAGCCCAGCAGAGCAGTTCTGGATGACCTCGTGACATTGAGAACTGACCTTGGAACGTGATTCTTTCCTGGAGCATACCCTCCTCCCACCCATGACAGAGATGAATAAAGACTTGAGTGTGAGGGACGGTGGCAAAGGACTACGGGCACCATCATGTTTCAGACCTTTGTGGCAGAACTAGTTGTGGCCACAGATGCCCATGTCCTGTGGGAATCAGGCTGTGAGCCCTGCTGTATCCTTCCTGGAACTGACAGACTCTCAGTGTTTGGGACAGTGCTTCCTTTTGTCCCCCAACGCATGAGAAATGCCTCTGTGTGCAGCTCTCTTGCCTGCTGTGTGTCTTGGGTGGCCAGACTCGATTTCTCCAGGCGTGCCGTCCTGTGTGGTCTGGGATGTCCGGACTAGAAGGGCGGTTCATGCACACTGACTCGGACGGGTTAAGAGACGACCATCCAGCCATCCATCTTGCATTGCACTCACACCCCCTCTTCCCAGTCAATATGTCTCCCTCCGATGGGAAAGTTAATAAATTTTGCTCTAGATTAAAAGTATTGATCATTTCATTTGTAAACGATAAATAAAAAGGGGGAACTTTTCATTGCACCATGGATAGCGTCTGGTGTATTTTGCTGGTGAAATTTCGCTCGCTGTTGGGGGGTGGGCTTCTCATATGCATTCTGGCCGGCCAGCTGCATTGATTTCCTATTAGTCTCCCAGCACCACCCAGTAACACATCATTTCAGTACCTGCTATTAATGGTCTTTTGATAAATAATCACTTGTAAGTCAATAAATTTTTATTAAACAGTGTGGCTCTTTGATTTATTAAAATCCGACTGTGTTTGTCTGGGAGAAAAGGGATGCTGAATTGAAGTGGAGGTTTTCATACATCTTCCTGACGCCGAGCAGTCATCACACACTCCAGAGAAAAACAATTGCGTTTTAACAGAAACAAAACAGCCGAGTTTGGAACTTGGGTCCAAGGAAACTTTATCTCCGTCAGCGTGGGGATTACTCTCCAGGGAGCAGCCAGGCGCCTCCGACACAAGAACTGTTCGCTTCTGAGAGTGGTGAGGTTTCCAGGTTGGACTCCCCTGCCTGACTGTATTATTGGATGCCTCTGAGGGGCCTCTGCAGGTCCATGGGCAGCCCAGGTCAGCCTCTCCTAGGGGGAGGTGGACCCTGGGGCAGACATTTGAGGTCAACCAGAGAAGTTGGACTACTGAACCTTTTAGCAGCCTTCCTGGCCAAATCACCAAAAGCTGCTTCTTGGGCAGGAAATGCCAACAGACTGCATGTTATGTGGACTGTTCTTAAAACAGTCACAATGCAAATTTTTGTGAACTTTTCATTGGCATAAAATTTGCCATAAAGTTTGATACCTTTTCATTAAGAGCTGGCTGCACACAGCATTGTTTTATAGAGAGCAACCCAGCCACTGAGAACAGAACCAAAATTCTCAGCCCAGAGGGGATTTCACCTCCACTGGTCCTCTGTGACTGTCAGTGACAGGACAAGGGCTTCAGAAGCGGGTCATAGTAAGTGCAGCTGAGGGCCTTGTTTCCAACCTGCTACAGGCTTCTCTAGTTTTTGGGCTTCCTTTCTTATCCTGGTCTGGGGGTGAAAGTGTCAGGGGACCCTGAAGGTGACTAGGAAACTGGAGAGAAGGTGAGTATTAACATAGTGGTTCTCAGCAGTATGGCTAATTCTGCCCCCAGGTGCAGGAGGCTGGGTGAGGAGGCCAGCTTCTCTTCCAGGGACTACTGAGGCCTGGGCCTAAGGCTCCAGCCCCGGGAAGCAAGGTGTTTTGCGTTCTAAATGGGCAAAATTCTAGTCTTTTTTTTTTTTTGTCAGGGTCTCTATGTAATTCAGGCTGGCCTTGCACTCACTATGTCACTCATGTTGCCTTGAACTTGTGATCCTTCTACCTCAACCTTCTGAGTGCTAGGAGTGCTGGGATTATAGTTGTGCACCACCACACCTGGCTCAAGTCCACTTTCAAGGTCAAACAGGAAACTTCTGCCTTGTTTCACTTGGGGCCTCGCTTGTACTTTGTTGATTCTTTCCCTCCTGAATTTCCCTGCTCAGGTCCATTCCAATCTTGGTAGGAGGACTTTGGTGGAGAAGCTGGAGTTTCTTGTGAATTCACTTCCTGTGAGTTGAGTCAAATGTATCAAACTGTGGAAAAGGAGCAACTTTCTTGGCAGCTCCCATTCTAGCTGCGGTGGAAGGCAAGGGATAAGGTTGGCACAAAGATGTTACAGAGCATTTGGGCATCATCCGGCAGGCCCTCACCACCTACTGAAGCCACCAGACAGGAGGTAAAGGTTTGGGAGGTGGGGGGGTGTTCTGTGTCTTGGTAGGAAGGCTGGCACGCCTGAAGCTTCCAGAAAGGAGAGTCTGACAGTCCTAGTGACAGTTTATTTTTCTTCCTTGATCCTCATGGCCTGGAAACGCACATTGAGTGTTTGAACCCCTCCATGTGTTGCCAACACAGCTCAGAGTGACTGAAATGGAGACAGGCTAGCTGGGGCCTTCCATCCTGATTCCACGCAGGTTCAGACAGAGACGTCCTCAGGCTTCCTGAGCTCCTGCCTGCCGGAGAGGACAAGCACCCCCTCCCCTGCGGGAGTGGCCAGGAAGTGCCTGGCCCGCCGACCCATCCCGTGCCTGCTGCTCAGAGCGGCCGGGCAGGGCCATGCTCACATTGATCCAGCAGCTGTGATTTGTCATCGCTCCAGGCAGGCGCCGCTTTCTCTTGCTTCAGGAGGCCCCTTCGACACCTGCTTTATTTTTCTTCCTGCGCTGACGTGACGGGAGACAGGTGTTAAACTACTTAATCACTTTAAAATTGTTTTAATTTTCTGTTTTTTATTGATCTCTCCAGCACCAATTAATCAGCTCACTGGACCAGGCAGTTAGTACATTAAAAATTGTCAGTGAGGCCGTGCATCTTGCAAAATGTCTAAAAAATATTCGGCTAGCAAATTTTGTTTTTCTTTGGCATGCAACAGTCCTCTGCCCTGGAACTGCCACTCAGAAAGTGCCCCTTGCTCTGGGGTTCCTGAGTCAGGGAGTATTCAGGGTACAGAGGAGCCCTGGCCAGGGTGCCTTCCTGTAGGGACAGCCAAAGCAGAGCCCCTTTCATCACCAATTTGCCACCTTCCTTCCACTTCTGTTCCATTCTTGAGCAGCTCCGGGTCTCCTTTCCTCTGGGGTTGGGTGTTGGAATTTTTGTGGGAAGGAGCACTCACTCAGGGAGTGGCAGGTGTGTCCTGACCCCACAAGGGCAGGACTTTAAGGTCTGTGACTGCCCTGTGGCCAAACCTAGCCCATAGCCAGCTTTCCCTTCAGGGACCATCAGCACATTTGACAATACCAAGGCCACGTCCCCTGGAGCAGCGCTTCGCCAAACTTGGTAAACTATCTGTTGGCAGGCAGCGGTGTCATGCTGCCTAGTCCCAGTCTCCCCCATGATGGGCCTGAAGCCTCTCCACGGATTGTTCCGGGCAAAAACACCCCCACTGTCACCGTCACCGTCACCGTCACCGTCACCCTGGCCTGGGCCACAAACCCTTGGCACTTGTCTTTTATCACCCCTCTTGACAATGCCTCATTAGTTGTTTGGATGTATTTTCTGACTTAAATAAAGTAGAGATGGACACCCCAGAGCTTCCATGTCACTTCTTGGGAGCAGAAATTTGTTTTCTGGTTCCCCCATTTTTGCCTGAGTTTCTGTCACTTGCCAAGGGCAAGCCCTGGGTTTTTTCTGGGCCAAACTACCGAGCAGTCTGTCTGCAGGCTGGTATCCTGGTACCATCTCCCCAGGTGTCCTCCACCTGCTTGCCTTCTTTCTGCACTTCCAGCTCCCCATGTGAATGGGGGAGCCATTTTCATCCCTGCCTCACACGAGAGCATGGGCTCCCCCGAGACCTGGGACATGGGTCCTTCAGAGTCAGGGACCCCAATCCCTGCTGGGAGGGCTTGGGCACGAGTCCCACACTGTGGGTCTGCTGGAGGAGGCGGGCAAGCGAGCCCTGTGTTCTGGCCACGGGACTTATCCGCCCCAGCCCCACCCGCCCTGTATTAATTGGTATATGATTGGGGTAGGACGTGTAATCTAGTATTGATTTTCTCTCTGGACGCCACAGCTTTATTTGCTCACATCTGCCTTGTGTTTAATTGGTGCTTTGCTCTAGAAACAGTGATCTTATCGGCCTGTTTGGTTTCTCCTCCTGGGGCACACAGGCACGCACACACCCCAATACCCCCAGCTCGGCCTCTCCCTGACCCTCCCACTTTGAGGCATTCCTGGGGCGTGGGGGGAGAGGGCAATGACCCAGAAGGGCTTTCTTTACACTTGACCTCACAAGCCATGCTGATCCTTCCTGGTGAAAAGTGTGTGTGGGGTAATTTAGGAGGAAAGTCTGGCTTTGGAGTCAGGCCTGGGTTCAAATCTACCTCCTCCTTGAGACTAACCCATGGCATTTTTCTACACTGTGGTGTCTCTTCTTTATCTGCTTTGTTGGATTCTAGAGGTTGTCATCACCACATACATTTAGTTGGTGCTCAGAAAACAGCAGCCCTGTCGTCAGCCAGTGCGATCACACACATTGCCTGATAGCTGTGGACCTTTGTCCACTGAGCATCTCTAACCAGGGGCACAGTGGTATCACCCTCACCTTGCCAAGGCCTCTGTCCTCTCCTGCAACTGGGAGCTCACTCTCAGCATGGCCTCTCCTGATTCCTGCACCCATTCCATCATGCCTTGCTCGCTTCTGTTTTCTTCTGTCTTCTGACTGTGGTCTGGCATTTGGGCTGTTCTCCCTTGGCTTTCCTAGTAAAGGAAAGGTGTAGAGGCCAGAGGTAGACATACTTCCTGTTGACTCAATAGCTCTTGCTTGGACAGGCAGACACACTGCCACTCAGGTTACAAGATTAATGGTGCTTGTTTGGCTGCGGAGAGGGGCCTGGCGAGAGCTCTGCATACTTGCTTGCCCTCCAGGCCGGCTGTGCTGCACACAGCGGAGCCAGGCCCCCCACCACTGCTAACATCATAATTGGAGCACCTGGTGCTTTCCCCCCACAGAAACAGGCAACAATTACTGGCTAAGGCACGGGCAGGCCTGTCATGCCCCATGGGGTGTCATGGAAGCCTTCCCAACAAAACCTGAATGGAACTGGGGGCCAGCCTTGCTGTCGCCTGAAGCTCTCTTCCGCCTGCCATGCACATGGCAATACTTGACCCCCATTCAGTGTCAAATGTAGGGTGGCCTTAGCTTCATTGCTCTGAAGAGTGAAAAACAGTGTTGGAAAGGACAGGCCAGGGCCTCCAAGGTGTGGCAGTTGACAGAGGGGCATCAGGACAGGTAATGATCCTGACTTAGGGCAGGAGACTCCCACCCAGCCTGGAAGTGATGTAATAACAGGACGGAGTCAGAGCAGTCACTGTGACTTTGTAGATTCAGCTAGTTTAAATAGGGCAAGCAAAAGCCTACAGCTAGACCCTTTTCAGCATATCCGCCCATGGCAGACCATAAAGGAGGTGCAGTGGTTTGGAAGTGTCCCCCAAAGGTTTGGTGCCAGCCTGTGGTGCTATTATGAGGTGATGGAACCTTCAAGGGTAGGGCCAAGTGGGGAAAATTGGGACCATGCCCCTTCTCCTTTCCTGCCATCCTGTCCCCACCGCGCGCCAGCTGCCATGAGGTGAGCAGCGTTGATCCACCACAGCCCCAAAACATTGGGTCTCAGTGACCATGAAAACCTCCCCAAGTGTGAGCCAGAATAAACTCTTCCTGCTTTTAAGTTGATCATCTTGGGTATCTTGTTACAGTGACAGAAAGCTAACATAGGCCATTGCGAGGGCTAGGGCTGCTGTCGTCCGGGGCTCTTCCCTATCAAGTCTCACGGGTGGGAGCAGCCAAGCCTTCGCACAGGTGACTGGTGTCACAGACAGACCCTCCAAAGAACAGAAGCATCAGACACACTGCACAGGCAGTACACGAGCTGCAAGCCCAGCACTGCTCTCCTTTCCAGAACGCAAAGCAGTGATTTAGCAAATTCTGATAAAGCAATGTCGCTTGAGACAAAGAATAAAGTAGACTTTTTAACCCCAAGTGCCCACAGAAGCTGATGACCTTCCCGTGGTGTCAGAGTCAGGGCTAAGGCTTGTGGCTTCAGGAAGCCTTAGGTCTGATTCTCTCCCCATACTCAGGAAGAGGCTCAGACCCTCTGCTGCTTTGCTTCCACTTGCTGCCTTCCCAGGCCACCTGGGGAAGAAGGCAAAGCCACAGAGTTCAATACAGGTCCTTTGCGACCAAATCCACAGGGAGTTGGGCATTTGAAATCACCATTGCCCTCAGCTGGCCACTGCTGGTGCCCTGGGCCCTGGGCAATCAGGAGTCCCGACCCCTCTCACTGTTCAGGCAGCCCAGAAAGGCCCTGGGGATCTGGATGTCTGACGAGCGCTGTTCTTGGTGAACTCAGGAGCTGCCTACCTAAGTGCACACCTCCGGCTGTGCTCCAT